TGCGGCGTGATATTGTGTGATAAATGGGACGGTTTGAGGGTTGTGTGATCGTTCGAGTGTCGGTGTCGTCTAGTGGTTAGGACGTGAGCTTAACACGCTCAAGATCGAGGGTTCGATCCCCTCCTCCGATATCTTATTGCCTTTTTCTTTACAACCGCTCGTTCGTGGCCCCTGGGCCAGCAGCGCATGCTGTAACCATAGCTCAGTGCGCAGCACATCCGTGTCCAAGCCGCTAGTAGCTTCTATAGCGAACGAGCCACGTGCAGCCCCGGAGACATCGCGATACGAGTATCGCGGTCGGTGAGAGAGGTGAGTGGTGGTTGTTGCGTGTGTAGGTAGGCGCTGACAGCGACGGTAAGGGTAGGCAATGGTAGGCAGGAGGTTGTGGTGCGGTTAGCATGGATGTGCGTTGGCGTACGTGTGTTTGCGGTGAATGTGCTGAGGGTTTGGATTTGTGTCGAATTTTAACGACAGCTTGGCCGAGTGGTTAAGGCGATAGACTAGAAATCTATTGGGGTAACCCGCGTGAGTTCAAATCTCACAGCTGTCGGACCCATTTTATGTGATTCAACCCGAGTCCATCTCGCCTCGTTGTGGCCTTCCCGCGCCTTCCTGTGACGCCACGCACCCAGCCACCACGTCTGCTCATCACACGCGACTCGACAGCACAATGGATACTTGTACACGCCCGCCATAGATTGCGCTACAACCATCGTTCCCACACGCCCGTCCGCTTCGTAAGCGACCATTTCTCAACGGATGATTTCCAAACCCCGCCAGGCTCGAAACCAACTGCGCTGTCCGCAGGTAGGTCAGGCAATGGGACTGACCGCTGCTGGCACGGCACAGCAGGCACGATCGTGGCAGTGTGCCTCGAGGTGTTGGGCTGGGCCAAAAGGCCGGCGACACAGTGTGGTTTGGGCACATGATGCCATGATGCCGAAGCAACCCGTGCGCAGAAAGAGATGACCCGTTTGGCTCCTCGATAGGTAGGTGGCGTGTACACTACCGCCGCGACCGGCTGATTGCGAGGAGGATCCAACCGAGCGCTGCTGAGTACCGTAGATGGAGGGGTCAAGTCGCGAGATGTTTTGGGTCCTGCGATCGTCTTGAAGCATGCGTGGTGATCTGTGGGCGATGCGAGTGCGATATGGTGTCCAGTCGACGCTGGAAGTTGGCGGTATAGGTCGTTTTGTGCGTGCGTGCGGCGTGATAATTGTGTGATAAAATGGGACGGTTTGAGGGTTGTGTGATCGTTCGAGTGTCGGTGTCGTCTAGTGGTTAGGACGTGAGCTTAACACGCTCAAGATCGAGGGTTCGATCCCCTCCTCCGATATCTTATTGCCTTTTTCTTTACAACCGCTCGTTCGTGGCCCCTGGGCCAGCAGCGCATGCTGTAACCATAGCTCAGTGCGCAGCACATCCGTGTCCAAGCCGCTAGTAGCTTCTATAGCGAACGAGCCACGTGCAGCCCCGGAGACATCGCGATACGAGTATCGCGGTCGGTGAGAGAGGTGAGTGGTGGTTGTTGCGTGTGTAGGTAGGCGCTGACAGCGACGGTAAGGGTAGGCAATGGTAGGCAGGAGGTTGTGGTGCGGTTAGCATGGATGTGCGTTGGCGTACGTGTGTTTGCGGTGAATGTGGTGAGGGTTTGGATTTGTGTCGAATTTTAACGACAGCTTGGCCGAGTGGTTAAGGCGATAGACTAGAAATCTATTGGGGTAACCCGCGTGAGTTCAAATCTCACAGCTGTCGGACCCATTTTATGTGATTCAACCCGAGTCCATCTCGCCTCGTTGTGGCCTTCCCGCGCCTTCCTGTGACGCCACGCACCCAGCCACCACGTCTGCTCATCACACGCGACTCGACAGCACAATGGATACTTGTACACACCCGGCATAGATTGCGCTACAACCATCGTTCCCACACGCCCGTCCGCTTCGTAAGCGACCATTTCTCAACGGATGATTTCCAAACCCCGCCAGGCTCGAAACCAACTGCGCTGTCCGCAGGTAGGTCAGGCAATGGGACTGACCGCTGCTGGCACGGCACAGCAGGCACGATCGTGGCAGTGTGCCTCGAGGTGTTGGGCTGGGCCAAAAGGCCGGCGACACAGTGTGGTTTGGGCACATGATGCCATGATGCCGAAGCAACCCGTGCGCAGAAAGAGATGACCCGTTTGGCTCCTCGATAGGTAGGTGGCGTGTACACTACCGCCGCGACCGGCTGATTGCGAGGAGGATCCAACCGAGCGCTGCTGAGTACCGTAGATGGAGGGGTCAAGTCGCGAGATGTTTTGGGTCCTGCGATCGTCTTGAAGCATGCGTGGTGGTCTGTGGGCGATGCGAGTGCGATATGGTGTCCAGTCGACGCTGGAAGTTGGCGGTATAGGTCGTTTTGTGCGTGCGTGCGGCGTGATAATTGTGTGATAAAATGGGACGGTTTGAGGGTTGTGTGATCGTTCGAGTGTCGGTGTCGTCTAGTGGTTAGGACGTGAGCTTAACACGCTCAAGATCGAGGGTTCGATCCCCTCCTCCGATATCTTATTGCCTTTTTCTTTACAACCGCTCGTTCGTGGCCCCTGGACCAGCAGCGCATGCTGTAACCATAGCTCAGTGCGCAGCACATCCGTGTCCAAGCCGCTAGTAGCTTCTATAGCGAACGAGCCACGTGCAGCCCCGGAGACATCGCGATACGAGTATCGCGGTCGGTGAGAGAGGTGAGTGGTGGTTGTTGCGTGTGTAGGTAGGCGCTGACAGCGACGGTAAGGGTAGGCAATGGTAGGCAGGAGGTTGTGGTGCGGTTAGCATGGATGTGCGTTGGCGTACGTGTGTTTGCGGTGAATATGGTGAGGGTTTGGATTTGTGTCAAATTTTAACGACAGCTTGGCCGAGTGGTTAAGGCGATAGACTAGAAATCTATTGGGGTAACCCGCGTGAGTTCAAATCTCACAGCTGTCGGACCCATTTTATGTGATTCAACCCGAGTCCATCTCGCCTCGTTGTGGCCTTCCCGCGCCTTCCTGTGACGCCACGCACCCAGCCACCACGTCTGCTCATCACACGCGACTCGACAGCACAATGGATACTTGTACACGCCCGCCATAGATTGCGCTACAACCATCGTTCCCACACGCCCGTCCGCTTCGTAAGCGACCATTTCTCAACGGATGATTTCCAAACCCCGCCAGGCTCGAAACCAACTGCGCTGTCCGCAGGTAGGTCAGGCAATGGGACTGACCGCTGCTGGCACGGCACAGCAGGCACGATCGTGGCAGTGTGCCTCGAGGTGTTGGGCTGGGCCAAAAGGCCGGCGACACAGTGTGGTTTGGGCACATGATGCCATGATGCCGAAGCAACCCGTGCGCAGAAAGAGATGACCCGTTTGGCTCCTCGATAGGTAGGTGGCGTGTACACTACCGCCGCGACCGGCTGATTGCGAGGAGGATCCAACCGAGCGCTGCTGAGTACCGTAGATGGAGGGGTCAAGTCGCGAGATGTTTTGGGTCCTGCGATCGTCTTGAAGCATGCGTGGTGGTCTGTGGGCGATGCGAGTGCGATATGGTGTCCAGTCGACGCTGGAAGTTGGCGGTATAGGTCGTTTTGTGCGTGCGTGCGGCGTGATAATTGTGTGATAAAATGGGACGGTTTGAGGGTTGTGTGATCGTTCGAGTGTCGGTGTCGTCTAGTGGTTAGGACGTGAGCTTAACACGCTCAAGATCGAGGGTTCGATCCCCTCCTCCGATATCTTATTGACTTTTTCTTTACAACCGCTCGTTCGTGGCCCCTGGACCAGCAGCGCATGCTGTAACCATAGCTCAGTGCGCAGCACATCCGTGTCCAAGCCGCTAGTAGCTTCTATAGCGAACGAGCCACGTGCAGCCCCGGAGACATCGCGATACGAGTATCGCGGTCGGTGAGAGAGGTGAGTGGTGGTTGTTGCGTGTGTAGGTAGGCGCTGACAGCGACGGTAAGGGTAGGCAATGGTAGGCAGGAGGTTGTGGTGCGGTTAGCATGGATGTGCGTTGGCGTACGTGTGTTTGCGGTGAATGTGGTGAGGGTTTGGATTTGTGTCAAATTTTAACGACAGCTTGGCCGAGTGGTTAAGGCGATAGACTAGAAATCTATTGGGGTAACCCACGTGAGTTCAAATCTCACAGCTGTCGGACCCATTTTATGTGATTCAACCCGAGTCCATCTCGCCTCGTTGTGGCCTTCCCGCGCCTTCCTGTGACGCCACGCACCCAGCCACCACGTCTGCTCATCACACGCGACTCGACAGCACAATGGATACTTGTACACGCCCGCCATAGATTGCGCTACAACCATCGTTCCCACACGCCCGTCCGCTTCGTAAGCGACCATTTCTCAACGGATGATTTCCAAACCCCGCCAGGCTCGAAACCAACTGCGCTGTCCGCAGGTAGGTCAGGCAATGGGACTGACCGCTGCTGGCACGGCACAGCAGGCACGATCGTGGCAGTGTGCCTCGAGGTGTTGGGCTGGGCCAAAAGGCCGGCGACACAGTGTGGTTTGGGCACATGATGCCATGATGCCGAAGCAACCCGTGCGCAGAAAGAGATGACCCGTTTGGCTCCTCGATAGGTAGGTGGCGTGTACACTACCGCCGCGACCGGCTGATTGCGAGGAGGATCCAACCGAGCGCTGCTGAGTACCGTAGATGGAGGGGTCAAGTCGCGAGATGTTTTGGGTCCTGCGATCGTCTTGAAGCATGCGTGGTGGTCTGTGGGCGATGCGAGTGCGATATGGTGTCCAGTCGACGCTGGAAGTTGGCGGTATAGGTCGTTTTGTGCGTGCGTGCGGCGTGATAATTGTGTGGTAAAATGGGACGGTTTGAGGGTTGTGTGATCGTTCGAGTGTCGGTGTCGTCTAGTGGTTAGGACGTGAGCTTAACACGCTCAAGATCGAGGGTTCGATCCCCTCCTCCGATATCTTATTGCCTTTTTCTTTACAACCGCTCGTTCGTGGCCCCTGGGCCAGCAGCGCATGCTGTAACCATAGCTCAGTGCGCAGCACATCCGTGTCCAAGCCGCTAGTAGCTTCTATAGCGAACGAGCCACGTGCAGCCCCGGAGACATCGCGATACGAGTATCGCGGTCGGTGAGAGAGGTGAGTGGTGGTTGTTGCGTGTGTAGGTAGGCGCTGACAGCGACGGTAAGGGTAGGCAATGGTAGGCAGGAGGTTGTGGTGCGGTTAGCATGGATGTGCGTTGGCGTACGTGTGTTTGCGGTGAATGTGGTGAGGGTTTGGATTTGTGTCGAATTTTAACGACAGCTTGGCCGAGTGGTTAAGGCGATAGACTAGAAATCTATTGGGGTAACCCGCGTGAGTTCAAATCTCACAGCTGTCGGACCCATTTTATGTGATTCAACCCGAGTCCATCTCGCCTCGTTGTGGCCTTCCCGCGCCTTCCTGTGACGCCACGCACCCAGCCACCACGTCTGCTCATCACACGCGACTCGACAGCACAATGGATACTTGTACACGCCCGCCATAGATTGCGCTACAACCATCGTTCCCACACGCCCGTCCGCTTCGTAAGCGACCATTTCTCAACGGATGATTTCCAAACCCCGCCAGGCTCGAAACCAACTGCGCTGTCCGCAGGTAGGTCAGGCAATGGGACTGACCGCTGCTGGCACGGCACAGCAGGCACGATCGTGGCAGTGTGCCTCGAGGTGTTGGGCTGGGCCAAAAGGCCGGCGACACAGTGTGGTTTGGGCACATGATGCCATGATGCCGAAGCAACCCGTGCGCAGAAAGAGATGACCCGTTTGGCTCCTCGATAGGTAGGTGGCGTGTACACTACCGCCGCGACCGGCTGATTGCGAGGAGGATCCAACCGAGCGCTGCTGAGTACCGTAGATGGAGGGGTCAAGTCGCGAGATGTTTTGGGTCCTGCGATCGTCTTGAAGCATGCGTGGTGGTCTGTGGGCGATGCGAGTGCGATATGGTGTCCAGTCGACGCTGGAAGTTGGCGGTATAGGTCGTTTTGTGCGTGCGTGCGGCGTGATAATTGTGTGATAAAATGGGACGGTTTGAGGGTTGTGTGATCGTTCGAGTGTCGGTGTCGTCTAGTGGTTAGAACGTGAGCTTAACACGCTCAAGATCGAGGGTTCGATCCCCTCCTCCGATATCTTATTGCCTTTTTCTTTACAACCGCTCGTTCGTGGCCCCTGGACCAGCAGCGCATGCTGTAACCATAGCTCAGTGCGCAGCACATCCGTGTCCAAGCCGCTAGTAGCTTCTATAGCGAACGAGCCACGTGCAGCCCCGGAGACATCGCGATACGAGTATCGCGGTCGGTGAGAGAGGTGAGTGGTGGTTGTTGCGTGTGTAGGTAGGCGCTGACAGCGACGGTAAGGGTAGGCAATGGTAGGCAGGAGGTTGTGGTGCGGTTAGCATGGATGTGCGTTGGCGTACGTGTGTTTGCGGTGAATGTGGTGAGGGTTTGGATTTGTGTCGAATTTTAACGACAGCTTGGCCGAGTGGTTAAGGCGATAGACTAGAAATCTATTGGGGTAACCCGCGTGAGTTCAAATCTCACAGCTGTCGGACCCATTTTATGTGATTCAACCCGAGTCCATCTCGCCTCGTTGTGGCCTTCCCGCGCCTTCCTGTGACGCCACGCACCCAGCCACCACGTCTGCTCATCACACGCGACTCGACAGCACAATGGATACTTGTACACGCCCGCCATAGATTGCGCTACAACCATCGTTCCCACACGCCCGTCCGCTTCGTAAGCGACCATTTCTCAACGGATGATTTCCAAACCCCGCCAGGCTCGAAACCAACTGCGCTGTCCGCAGGTAGGTCAGGCAATGGGACTGACCGCTGCTGGCACGGCACAGCAGGCACGATCGTGGCAGTGTGCCTCGAGGTGTTGGGCTGGGCCAAAAGGCCGGCGACACAGTGTGGTTTGGGCACATGATGCCATGATGCCGAAGCAACCCGTGCGCAGAAAGAGATGACCCGTTTGGCTCCTCGATAGGTAGGTGGCGTGTACACTACCGCCGCGACCGGCTGATTGCGAGGAGGATCCAACCGAGCGCTGCTGAGTACCGTAGATGGAGGGGTCAAGTCGCGAGATGTTTTGGGTCCTGCGATCGTCTTGAAGCATGCGTGGTGGTCTGTGGGCGATGCGAGTGCAATATGGTGTCCAGTCGACGCTGGAAGTTGGCGGTATAGGTCGTTTTGTGCGTGCGTGCGGCGTGATAATTGTGTGATAAAATGGGACGGTTTGAGGGTTGTGTGATCGTTCGAGTGTCGGTGTCGTCTAGTGGTTAGGACGTGAGCTTAACACGCTCAAGATCGAGGGTTCGATCCCCTCCTCCGATATCTTATTGACTTTTTCTTTACAACCGCTCGTTCGTGGCCCCTGGACCAGCAGCGCATGCTGTAACCATAGCTCAGTGCGCAGCACATCCGTGTCCAAGCCGCTAGTAGCTTCTATAGCGAACGAGCCACGTGCAGCCCCGGAGACATCGCGATACGAGTATCGCGCTCGGTGAGAGAGGTGAGTGGTGGTTGTTGCGTGTGTAGGTAGGCGCTGACAGCGACGGTAAGGGTAGGCAATGGTAGGCAGGAGGTTGTGGTGCGGTTAGCATGGATGTGCGTTGGCGTACGTGTGTTTGCGGTGAATGTGGTGAGGGTTTGGATTTGTGTCAAATTTTAACGACAGCTTGGCCGAGTGGTTAAGGCGATAGACTAGAAATCTATTGGGGTAACCCACGTGAGTTCAAATCTCACAGCTGTCGGACCCATTTTATGTGATTCAACCCGAGTCCATCTCGCCTCGTTGTGGCCTTCCCGCGCCTTCCTGTGACGCCACGCACCCAGCCACCACGTCTGCTCATCACACGCGACTCGACAGCACAATGGATACTTGTACACGCCCGCCATAGATTGCGCTACAACCATCGTTCCCACACGCCCGTCCGCTTCGTAAGCGACCATTTCTCAACGGATGATTTCCAAACCCCGCCAGGCTCGAAACCAACTGCGCTGTCCGCAGGTAGGTCAGGCAATGGGACTGACCGCTGCTGGCACGGCACAGCAGGCACGATCGTGGCAGTGTGCCTCGAGGTGTTGGGCTGGGCCAAAAGGCCGGCGACACAGTGTGGTTTGGGCACATGATGCCATGATGCCGAAGCAACCCGTGCGCAGAAAGAGATGACCCGTTTGGCTCCTCGATAGGTAGGTGGCGTGTACACTACCGCCGCGACCGGCTGATTGCGAGGAGGATCCAACCGAGCGCTGCTGAGTACCGTAGATGGAGGGGTCAAGTCGCGAGATGTTTTGGGTCCTGCGATCGTCTTGAAGCATGCGTGGTGGTCTGTGGGCGATGCGAGTGCGATATGGTGTCCAGTCGACGCTGGAAGTTGGCGGTATAGGTCGTTTTGTGCGTGCGTGCGGCGTGATAATTGTGTGGTAAAATGGGACGGTTTGAGGGTTGTGTGATCGTTCGAGTGTCGGTGTCGTCTAGTGGTTAGGACGTGAGCTTAACACGCTCAAGATCGAGGGTTCGATCCCCTCCTCCGATATCTTATTGCCTTTTTCTTTACAACCACTCGTTCGTGGCCCCTGGACCAGCAGCGCATGCTGTAACCATACCTCAGTGCGCAGCACATCCGTGTCCAAGCCGCTAGTAGCTTCTATAGCGAACGAGCCACGTGCAGCCCCGGAGACATCGCGATACGAGTATCGCGGTCGGTGAGAGAGGTGAGTGGTGGTTGTTGCGTGTGTAGGTAGGCGCTGACAGCGACGGTAAGGGTAGGCAATGGTAGGCAGGAGGTTGTGGTGCGGTTAGCATGGATGTGCGTTGGCGTACGTGTGTTTGCGGTGAATGTGGTGAGGGTTTGGATTTGTGTCAAATTTTAACGACAGCTTGGCCGAGTGGTTAAGGCGATAGACTAGAAATCTATTGGGGTAACCCGCGTGAGTTCAAATCTCACAGCTGTCGGACCCATTTTATGTGATTCAACCCGAGTCCATCTCGCCTCGTTGTGGCCTTCCCGCGCCTTCCTGTGACGCCACGCACCCAGCCACCACGTCTGCTCATCACACGCGACTCGACAGCACAATGGATACTTGTACACGCCCGCCATAGATTGCGCTACAACCATCGTTCCCACACGCCCGTCCGCTTCGTAAGCGACCATTTCTCAACGGATGATTTCCAAACCCCGCCAGGCTCGAAACCAACTGCGCTGTCCGCAGGTAGGTCAGGCAATGGGACTGACCGCTGCTGGCACGGCACAGCAGGCACGATCGTGGCAGTGTGCCTCGAGGTGTTGGGCTGGGCCAAAAGGCCGGCGACACAGTGTGGTTTGGGCACATGATGCCATGATGCCGAAGCAACCCGTGCGCAGAAAGAGATGACCCGTTTGGCTCCTCGATAGGTAGGTGGCGTGTACACTACCGCCGCGACCGGCTGATTGCGAGGAGGATCCAACCGAGCGCTGCTGAGTACCGTAGATGGAGGGGTCAAGTCGCGAGATGTTTTGGGTCCTGCGATCGTCTTGAAGCATGCGTGGTGGTCTGTGGGCGATGCGAGTGCGATATGGTGTCCAGTCGACGCTGGAAGTTGGCGGTATAGGTCGTTTTGTGCGTGCGTGCGGCGTGATAATTGTGTGGTAAAATGGGACGGTTTGAGGGTTGTGTGATCGTTCGAGTGTCGGTGTCGTCTAGTGGTTAGGACGTGAGCTTAACACGCTCAAGATCGAGGGTTCGATCCCCTCCTCCGATATCTTATTGCCTTTTTCTTTACAACCGCTCGTTCGTGGCCCCTGGGCCAGCAGCGCATGCTGTAACCATAGCTCAGTGCGCAGCACATCCGTGTCCAAGCCGCTAGTAGCTTCTATAGCGAACGAGCCACGTGCAGCCCCGGAGACATCGCGATACGAGTATCGCGGTCGGTGAGAGAGGCGAGTGGTGGTTGTTGCGTGTGTAGGTAGGCGCTGACAGCGACGGTAAGGGTAGGCAATGGTAGGCAGGAAGTTGTGGTGCGGTTAGCATGGATGTGCGTTGGCGTACGTGTGTTTGCGGTGAATGTGGTGAGGGTTTGGATTTGTGTCAAATTTTAACGACAGCTTGGCCGAGTGGTTAAGGCGATAGACTAGAAATCTATTGGGGTAACCCGCGTGAGTTCAAATCTCACAGCTGTCGGACCCATTTTATGTGATTCAACCCGAGTCCATCTCGCCTCGTTGTGGCCTTCCCGCGCCTTCCTGTGACGCCACGCACCCAGCCACCACGTCTGCTCATCACACGCGACTCGACAGCACAATGGATACTTGTACACACCCGCCATAGATTGCGCTACAACCATCGTTCCCACACGCCCGTCCGCTTCGTAAGCGACCATTTCTCAACGGATGATTTCCAAACCCCGCCAGGCTCGAAACCAACTGCGCTGTCCGCAGGTAGGTCAGGCAATGGGACTGACCGCTGCTGGCACGGCACAGCAGGCACGATCGTGGCAGTGTGCCTCGAGGTGTTGGGCTGGGCCAAAAGGCCGGCGACACAGTGTGGTTTGGGCACATGATGCCATGATGCCGAAGCAACCCGTGCGCAGAAAGAGATGACCCGTTTGGCTCCTCGATAGGTACACTACCGCCGCGACCGGCTGATTGCGAGGAGGATCCAACCGAGCGCTGCTGAATACCGTATATGGAGGGGTCAAGTCGCGAGATGTTTTGGGTCCTGCGATCGTCTTGAAGCATGCGTGGTGATCTGTGGGCGATGCGAGTGCGATATGGTGTCCAGTCGACGCTGGAAGTTGGCGGTATAGGTCGTTTTGTGCGTGCGTGCGGCGTGATAATTGTGTGATAAAATGGGACGGTTTGAGGGTTGTGTGATCGTTCGAGTGTCGGTGTCGTCTAGTGGTTAGGACGTGAGCTTAACACGCTCAAGATCGAGGGTTCGATCCCCTCCTCCGATATCTTATTGCCTTTTTCTTTACAACCGCTCGTTCGTGGCCCCTGGGCCAGCAGCGCATGCTGTAACCATAGCTCAGTGCGCAGCACATCCGTGTCCAAGCCGCTAGTAGCTTCTATAGCGAACGAGCCACGTGCAGCCCCGGAGACATCGCGATACGAGTATCGCGGTCGGTGAGAGAGGTGAGTGGTGGTTGTTGCGTGTGTAGGTAGGCGCTGACAGCGACGGTAAGGGTAGGCAATGGTAGGCAGGAGGTTGTGGTGCGGTTAGCATGGATGTGCGTTGGCGTACGTGTGTTTGCGGTGAATGTGGTGAGGGTTTGGATTTGTGTCGAATTTTAACGACAGCTTGGCCGAGTGGTTAAGGCGATAGACTAGAAATCTATTGGGGTAACCCGCGTGAGTTCAAATCTCACAGCTGTCGGACCCATTTTATGTGATTCAACCCGAGTCCATCTCGCCTCGTTGTGGCCTTCCCGCGCCTTCCTGTGACGCCACGCACCCAGCCACCACGTCTGCTCATCACACGCGACTCGACAGCACAATGGATACTTGTACACGCCCGCCATAGATTGCGCTACAACCATCGTTCCCACACGCCCGTCCGCTTCGTAAGCGACCATTTCTCAACGGATGATTTCCAAACCCCGCCAGGCTCGAAACCAACTGCGCTGTCCGCAGGTAGGTCAGGCAATGGGACTGACCGCTGCTGGCACGGCACAGCAGGCACGATCGTGGCAGTGTGCCTCGAGGTGTTGGGCTGGGCCAAAAGGCCGGCGACACAGTGTGGTTTGGGCACATGATGCCATGATGCCGAAGCAACCCGTGCGCAGAAAGAGATGACCCGTTTGGCTCCTCGATAGGTAGGTGGCGTGTACACTACCGCCGCGACCGGCTGATTGCGAGGAGGATCCAACCGAGCGCTGCTGAGTACCGTAGATGGAGGGGTCAAGTCGCGAGATGTTTTGGGTCCTGCGATCGTCTTGAAGCATGCGTGGTGGTCTGTGGGCGATGCGAGTGCGATATGGTGTCCAGTCGACGCTGGAAGTTGGCGGTATAGGTCGTTTTGTGCGTGCGTGCGGCGTGATAATTGTGTGGTAAAATGGGACGGTTTGAGGGTTGTGTGATCGTTCGAGTGTCGGTGTCGTCTAGTGGTTAGGACGTGAGCTTAACACGCTCAAGATCGAGGGTTCGATCCCCTCCTCCGATATCTTATTGCCTTTTTCATTACAACCGCTCGTTCGTGGCCCCTGGACCAGCAGCGCATGCTGTAACCATAGCTCAGTGCGCAGCACATCCGTGTCCAAGCCGCTAGTAGCTTCTATAGCGAACGAGCCACGTGCAGCCCCGGAGACATCGCGATACGAGTATCGCGGTCGGTGAGAGAGGTGAGTGGTGGTTGTTGCGTGTGTAGGTAGGCGCTGACAGCGACGGTAAGGGTAGGCAATGGTAGGCAGGAGGTTGTGGTGCGGTTAGCATGGATGTGCGTTGGCGTACGTGTGTTTGCGGTGAATGTGGTGAGGGTTTGGATTTGTGTCGAATTTTAACGACAGCTTGGCCGAGTGGTTAAGGCGATAGACTAGAAATCTATTGGGGTAACCCGCGTGAGTTCAAATCTCACAGCTGTCGGACCCATTTTATGTGATTCAACCCGAGTCCATCTCGCCTCGTTGTGGCCTTCCCGCGCCTTCCTGTGACGCCACGCACCCAGCCACCACGTCTGCTCATCACACGCGACTCGACAGCACAATGGATACTTGTACACACCCGCCATAGATTGCGCTACAACCATCGTTCCCACACGCCCGTCCGCTTCGTAA